ATTCCACACTTCGCACCTTCACCGGTCCGCCTGCCGCCCACCGACCGCCCCCGCCCCGTCATCTTCCCCACCCCCACCCCCACCCCGTCATCTTCCCCACCCCCACCCCCGCCCATCCCGGCAGACACGCCACCATGGCCCCCGCTCAGCCCCCAACTCTCGTCCCCTCCCCGGCGGAGCTCTCCGCCCTGACGGCCCTCATCAGGCACCAGCCCACCCCGCCGCCGCTCACCCCCATCCTGTCCGAGTTTCTCGACCTGCTGCGCCCGGAGCACCACCACTCCTTCCTCTTCACCCCGGACCCGATCCACGTCACGCACTTCACCTCGCCCACGCTCAGCGCCATCGCCGTCACAAACACCCTCACCACCACCCGCGTGCAAGCCCCCGTCCACACCCCGAGCATCACCCCCCTCTCCGGCGAGTCGCACTACGAGCACGCCGGCTTCGCCCTCGTCCCCATCTTCACCATGGCCGACATCACCATGGGCATCGGCGTCTCGGAGGGCCTGCTCGCCATCGGCTCGCCCTGCCTGCCGGCCCCCTTCGCCGACGCCCACATGGAGCACTGCAACTTCCGCTTCCTGCGCGACGCCCGCCGCCGCGCCATCCTCCTCGTCTTCGACGCCCCCGAGGACGACGCCGTCATGGTCTTCTACGCCGTCAACCGCACCATGACCGAGTGCCACTCCTTCCAGGCCGCCTTCCGTCGCGCCCACTTCCTGCGCCTCGTCGCCTCGGCCGGCGACGGCTGCGGCCTCATGCACCTGCTCCCGGCTTGCGACTTCATCATCAACGAGGTCCAGCACCGCGCCTGCCCCGCGTGCGGCGTCCCCATCGGCGCCACCTGCGCCTGTCCCTTCCCTGATATCCGAGCGGCGCACCCGATGGACGGCACCCACTTTCTGCGCTCGTTCCAGGAGGACTTTGGCTTGTACGAGGGCGTCGCCAGCAAGCTCATTCGCGAGGGCGCCGGCGAGCGCTTTGTCCAGCTGGGCGTGCGCGTCAGCTGCCAGGGCTTTTTGGACGTCGAGCATGAAATGCTCAGTCGCTTAACCCGCTGGTCGGTCCATGGCTACCTGCAGGGCAAGGCGGATGATCCCAGGCTGGGCTTGTTATGCGGGAGGGAAGAGGAAGACGTGTTTGGGGGTCCGCCGCTTGTGGAGGAGATCGCCATAGAAAAGGAGACCGGGCTGGAACAGGACCAGGGGGATGCCATGACGTGGCTGCAGGATACCGTCGGCATGCTGTTCCCGACAGAGAGCGCGCAAGGCGTGCCTTCAGGGTCGTTGACGACCGCTGATCTCAGCGGGCTTGACGACTTGCTTGGGACAGGGTCAGGGGTAGACCCTCTCAGTTTCGTCGGGGGGAACGAGCTTGGCTTTGGGGGAAGGCAGGCTGAGGTGGACTTTGAAGTCGTCCATGAGGCGCTGCCTTGGTTGGAGGAGGAGGAGGAGGCGTCGACCGGGAGGGAAGGCGAACAGGTGCATTCAGATCAGAGCGTCAACCGTGTGCGGGGTCAGGATCATGCCAGAGGCGGGGAAGATAGCCCCCCAAGGCAAGAACTCTTGGGCTCGTCATCTGCAAGCACTGTAGATGTGCCGCGCCGCGTGGACAACAGCCTGCACGGATTTGCCACCGCTGCGCCTATGCATGCAAATAGTCCGTGGATTCCCGCACCTGTGCCCCCCGCTACAGTTCTCTTGCCGGGACCTGTTGTAGTGCCGGTCTTTTCGGGCCTAAGCCGGGTTGAAAGTACAGAGGAGAAGGCCAAAAAGCAGACGGCCGAAGAGAGAAAGCGGCGAAACCGCGTGGCAGCTCAGCGCAGTAACATGAAGCGGAAACTTGCCTGTGACGCGATCCGCGTGCAGTTGAAGCCGCTCCGGGAGAAGGTCGACGAGCTTAGGAAGAGGGAAGGGGCTTTGCGTGAAGAGAATTTGGCAATGAAAAAGCAGGTTGACAATAGCTGATTCGCAAGACGTGGGGATGGAACGTTCTATGTATAATATTGATCGAGAGTTTCACCTGGGACGAGGAAGCAACAGTGCCGTAGAAGGCCGAGGTTGGGACATTTGTTAAATCTTGAAACCCCAGCTACGAGATGCGTCATATTGTATGTGCCACACCTCATATGCTCAGTGACAGTCGTCCGCTATTGTGAGGATCCTGCTCATTACTGGGGTCTCTTTTACATCACCGAAGCAGATCAGGTCGATTAGGATCCCGGTAGGCCCAGAGTGTCTCATTGCGGTAAGCGTAGCATTGCTGACTTTCGTGAAGTGGTGCAAAGATAGGACAGCACCTCTGCCCCAAGGCGATTGAAGAATGGAATTTATGTAAATGTATGTCGTGCTGCTTCCGGCTAAGCTCCATTGCTGTGCGTCGCAACATGTACTGTACATAGTATGCACTGCAGTTGCTGAGTGCTTAACAGCGGTACCGGGGTGGACGGATGCAAGTTGTCTTTTCAATGTGAGCTGCCGGTGGAATCGCATGTGAGACCCTCTACCCGCATGTAATTATGAAGAACGGAGCACGGAATGCTAAGAGTGCTGAATTTGACGGTGATCGATGCAGCAAATGAGGATCCGCGTCACTTTGTTTTGATACTGTACAGCTAAAAACATTTTTTCCCGTTCACCTCAACGGGTGTTTCCAAACTCTTCCGTGGGTATGCTAACAGATGCCTGGCTCAGAAGTGTCACTGAAAGGCACTGCAGGACCAGTAATTGATGCCGAAGCCGAAGCTTCGGCCAAGTGCACCTAAAGGGCTTTTAAACTTAGCGTACCAGGGAGCACCACTTTGCCAAAACAGCAATGTGGCAATAGATACACAGGATATGACTCGCGACCGCCGTCGATCTCGTAGATCAACGCAACAAGTGGGATAGCCGAATGTGGAGAAGTTGCTGTACACGACGCTTAAGAGCATCTCCACCGGCGAGGGTCTATGGGATATAGTGTGTCGGATTCGGTCCGATTGGGTGGTCCTAGAGTGGACCCGCAGCGAGTGACGGGGCTTGTGTCTTTGACTCAGGCAGCAAGCTCGCGCGGAGCTTGCGCTGCTCTCGAGAGCGCGAGTCGGGCGAGGCGGAACAGCAGACCTCACGCAGGTGAGGGCTGCGAGTTGTTGCAGTGTGTCAACAAGTTGATGTTTATTCCGTCCTACCCTTTATACAGCGTGAAAGATAAATCTTCACGCTGTAGCTCGAAGTTCGCTCTGAAGATATTTCCTGCCGTTCTCGCTTGCTCAAATGACTGTCGGTTGTCAATTGAGCAAGACAGACAGCTCTAAATCCTCCTTTCATCATCCCCTTTTTCTCTACTGTAGCCCTCATCATTCAACGTAGATGAACTGCAAATTGGATCAATGCACACAGAATCTCGACATCGGATGGGGCATCATAAAGGTCTACGTCAATACAGCTCGACATAATGTATTTGTCCAAAATGCCAGGTGGAGAATTACAACTGGCTCCCAGTCAAAAATTAGACCGCACTCGGCCGCGGGTCTATGCTATTGATAGATGGAGCTAAAAAGGGACCCCTCTCCACCAGTGACGGTCTAATGGTCTATCTTCTGCTCTCGCACCCCTGCCCCCTCACCTCCCTCCGTAATTCCCCAGCCCCTCCCTCTAACTGCATGTCTCGTATTTCCACAGAAGGACCATGAACTTCAACATAGACGAACTCGTGCATGACAGTGACGATGACATTGGAGGACGGCAATGGGCAGTTTGGGTAGCGCATAAAAGTCGCGGGATCCGTATAACTGGAAATAACCCATAGGCAAGGAAGGGGATGGGGATGGGGGCGGCGGTGGCGAAAAAGGCCGGACGAGAAATGCCAAGATTTGTGCTTCACGTGTGCAACGTGGCGAATAGATCGGGTCTATCGCCGGGTCTATTTCGGGGTCTGAATAGATTGTTGTCGGTGAAATGGGGGAGGCGGTTCTGGAGAGCGTGCCGTTTGTGGTGAGGGTTGGCCGAGTGTCGTCCCCCCTTCCCCGCAGCGCCCGTCACCCTCTCTCTTTTATTTCTACGAAATTCCTTCCAGAAGCGTCCACGCATCCGGCCCGGATTCCGCCGGGCCGTCCGCGTGCGCTTCTCTAAAATTCAAATAAAATCTCGGACTACAGAATAAAATCTCCCTCTACAGTAAAATGCAAATATTTCCATAAAAATATCTCACATGACCCCCTCCTCAAGGCAGCCCACGGGGCTGGCGCTGCACGTAAATATACTGGCCCCGCTTCCTTGCGTGATCGCTCTGGCCCCCCCGGCCACTGTCTTTCCACCTTGCCACTGAACTGCACTCTCCCTGCCTCCTCGCGCCTCTCTCGCCGTCGAACTTCTAACAGTCAATTTCAAGCCGCGCTTCATCTGCGTCGCCCGAATTCCGGTTGCCCAACGTCAGCTTGGCGTCAGCCTCGGGCCGCGTGGTCTCCGCGTCGCCCGGGACTGTGGGTGCTGACGTCAATCGTCGTCTGGGACTCAGGCCGCGTGCTCTGCGCGTCGCCTGAGGCTCCGTTTCCAGTCGTTCCCGTTTCGGGACTTCTCGGAAACGCACAGCGTCTCGAGCCGCGCACGGGAGCTCTGTGGTCCTTCGGGCGGTACTCCCTGTGCGCACTATGGCTTGAACCAAGCAGACGGCGAGGGCTTCCACCGGCGGGAAGGTACCACGCCGCGCTATCGCCACTAGGGCCGCCCGCCGTTCAGCGAGCGTGTGGCGAGAGAACGGCCAGGACGTCACCGAAAGGGCGGCTCATGGCATGAATTGCCCCTTCATCGACTTCGAAGACCCAAGTAATGCCGAACATCTCCCTGACCTTTGGGAGCACGCGGGACGTTCCGACGTCTCCGCGTTTCGGTACCAAGTAGGAGATGGTTCTTTCCGAATCAAATATAAGGAAGTGGGCAACCGGGCGTCCGTCGTAGCAGCCGTATCTGCCCCCGGGGCCCGGCTTCTCTTCGGGGCCCATGTGTTGGCCTTCGTATCGGCCCGCCTCGCTCGCAAGGCATGGTTCACCTCCGACTGCTGCTACCGGCTGGGGCTCACCGAGAGCCACAGCGACGGGACGGAGTACACCTGCTGCGACGACCCAGAGTGAGTCGTCGAATTTGTCTGGTGCTCTGATGGCGGTAACGGCGAGGTCAAGGGTTGCCACTACGCCGTCGGAGAGGGGAGTCCAGAGAAGTACATGATACTTCTCTACACGATGACCTTCGATCGCGTGCCCTCTGCGAACGGCACCGCCCGCCGGGGCTTCAACTCTTCCTTTGATAAGGAGTGCTCAACGCGTATGGACGCTATTCTGGCTATCGACAATTGGTGTAGCCAGAATAGAGGGAAGAGGAAGCGAGTGAACTTTTCTATGTCACGCGACGTCTCCCCACTCGCTTCCCGATACCTTCGCACGTCCCGGACCGTAGCGTTCCAAGACAATACCGTCTTGTGCATCCAGTCTGCGGTCTGCAACGCTATGTTCCTTGTCGTTGGTCGCGGTGCTGCTGACCGCCTATGGGTGGCGGAAGCGGCCCGAGTCGCCGCGTTCGAGCGTCAGATGGACTATTCCCCGAGCGTGCACCACTTTACGCACATTCAGAGGGTAATCCGAGCAGATCACCACGGAACAGTTTCTCTTGATCATGTGGCCCCACCGCCGGAGGCTTTCATCCAAGGGAGATCCAGCTCCAGACTCCCTCTGTGGCGCAGCTCTGCTGTTAGCTGGTTACTTCGTCTGCCGCGGGAGCAAGCGGGTGTCTACGTTCTTCGCATCACCGACGTTAACCATCTCCAACACGCCGTCTGCATAGACGCACGGACGGAACCAGCGCTGATCCACGATTGCGCAGAACGTTTCGCCATGCAGCTCAAGGACACTTCTCTTCGCTTGTGCTGTCCCGCCGCCGATCCGACAAAGTTCCAGTACTTCGATGATGTGCGTCTCTTGCGCCGAACAACCCGGCAGCGTAGAGACGCCAATCAGAGTCCCGGCCGGGAGAGGAAATCCAAAATGGTTCGCCGAGGAAATCGTGGCCCCAAATCCTCCCATGGCAAGGTAATTGCCGTGCGTAGGGGTTCTTCAAGCAGCAAACACTGATAGTTCATGCATAAGAAACGAAATCAATCTCAATCGCCTTCAATCTAGTACATGCGAAATATTAAAATGCATCACACCTACATAAGATGTGCGGGTTTCTGAATAAAAGGGATTAAACGTCTTGCATGTATATCCCGTCGACTGTAGCGCAATCCCGGCGACACGAGTGTGTACCGCGGGTGCTTGGCTCGTACTACCCGGCATGGGCCGTAGTACTTCGACTCCCCTAGGGGCCACTTCTGTAACCCTCCTAGGGCTGTTCCTCGGGCGACCAGAACTTGATCGTGTACGTCGAACTGGCGTGGCGACACAACCGTCATTCTCTTGCTCCTCTTTTCCAACTGTTTAGCCGCCCTCGTCGATTGGAGCGCGAGCGTCGCTAACAGTTCCAAGTTGCGCGCCTCAACGCCGCCCCACCGGATTTGGTTCAGTTCGGTCTGGGGTTGCGCGGGCGGCTTTACTCCATACATCAGCTCAAACGGGGTGAACCCGTCCGACAGCCGGCGTCGGCGGTATCCGTACAGGATCTGCTTCAGCGCTGGTTCCCACTTGTGGCTAGCGGCGCCCTGTCCCAACAGAGTCTTCCGAATTGAACGCTTGATGGTCCCGACCATACGCTCCGCTTTTCCGTTGGACATAGGAGCATGGGCGAGGACCGGTTTCCATGAAATTCCCTGTTGTACCATGAAGTTCTTCAACGCTGTCGCGCTGAAACATGTTGCGTTATCTGAGACTATGGTCCGAGGGGGACCAAACGAATGGATGATCTCCTCCTCCACGAACTTGACAACTTCCGCAGACGTAGCGGTCTCGGTTGCCCAAGCCAGGGGCCAACCAGTCAGATGTTCGACCGCTATCAGGATGTAACGTTTTACGTTCTTCGTCTTGGGAAGGGGTCCCGCAAAGTCTATCGAGAATGTCTCAAAGAGCTGACAGACTGGTATCACCGCCGTGCTTTTGTACGTCGGGATGGGCGCAGCCTTTTGGCAGCCTTCACATCCACGAACGTAGGCGTAGATATCACCATG